TTAAAATATATACTTATATAATAATCCACTACTGAATTTATATATATTCTACAGCTTAAAATCGAATAAAAGCAGAATTATTTTTTATAAAAAATATGAAATTTAGTTTAATTTAAATTAAAAAACTTGTATTAATATGTCAAGTTGTTGAATTTAAAATTGTAATTTTTATCAAAGTCTGAATATTATTGTTTATTAACAATAACTGTAGGAAACATAAATAATTAATACATATTATAATAATTACATTTAAATAACGTTGGAGGATTTTTTTTCCTAGATTCACTCTGCCAATATCTAACTGTTCCGGTGAAAGATCTACTCTTTCAAAAGAAAAATTAAATTAATTTGCTGCTCTTGTAGTTCCTTAGAAAAATGTAAATACTGTACATAGTACATTAATAAACCGAGTTTGGTCTAATACAAATGTTGCAATTTCTCGTTTAATAGACACAATATAACAATAATATACGGCGTTAGCGCCAACATAATAATAAAAGGTACTCGTGATGTAAAAAAAATAAACAATCGTGATTATGCGTAATAATAATAAAAGGCGAATCGCGCCCACTACAATAGTAAATAATAAAACAGCAATTCGCGATGTAATAATAATATTATATTATGCGGTTCTGCGACTCTTCAGAACAAACAATAAAAAATAATGATCAACAAATATATACTTTGAAGTTTGAATGAAATAGAATTATCTATCCGGTCGTTATCTGCTTAATATATTATTATATAATTCACAACAAAATAATTAGGTAATACAAAAATGAAGGCAATACTAAACAATTATTATGAAGTGCAGTGGCGCCAAAATATATATTATTTACCTATGTGTCGAAATTTGTTGCGGAGGTGTCATATGTGATATATGTCATAGCCCATAGGTAAAATATTGGACTTCAGCGCCACAGCGATGTGTGTGTGTGTGATTGTGCGTATCGGTAAGTGGCTTCCCTAATGATAATGTGTAGAGCAGAGGTTTTCAAACTGAGTACCGAGATCATTCGTTAAGTGTGCCGCGGTCTTCTGAAAAATGTCAACTATTCGTTCAAGAATAAAATTATAGAAATAAAATTAATAAAAATTTGTTCGCCCTTCAAGCACAAATTTCTAATTATATGTATATAATTATAACTCAAATCAAGTTCTAGTCAGACCAGTAGCTATGTATGCAAGCAGTACTTGGGCGACGACAAAGTCAGATGAAAAAAAATTGGAAGAGTTTGAGAGAAAGATATTGAGGAAGATAGTTGGCCCAAAGAAAAACAATGAAGAAGAATATGAAATACGAAGCAATAAAAACTTAGCAGAACTATATAACGAAACCAATATTGTTAGGATCTTGAAAAGCGCACGAATAGGCTGGACATGGCCCTGGACAAGACCTTTGGACTTGGCAGTCGATTGCAGGATCGCTGCTGTCTGGTTTCCGTCGGGGCGCGGACTTGCGAAAAGTTTCCGGTCATCGTCACCCAAACTTATTACCGACTCGCCCGAGTACCACCTGCAGGTAGAAAAGATCGCCTCGCCACCGGTCCCTGCAACCGAAGTTCCTATGTCTCCGGAGATGGACGCCCACTCAGAAACGCCAAAATTCTTGCGACCTCAGGGTCCTTCCTTGACCGACGCTTTGGACTTGGCAGTCGATCACAGGATTGCTGCTGTCGGGCTACTACAGTTACGGCCGTGGCGAGACCATGCAGTGAGTATCCGGTTGTCTTTAGAGCTGAGCGTTCGTTCTCCCGTGTACGGCGCAGTTAAGTCAGTTCCGCCGGTGGCAGCAGATGAAAGTCTACAATTGGTGTGGAAGAGGTCGAAAAGATTCGTCTGGAAGTACATGGTCAACGCTGCACGCCGAATTTGTTTCTGCCACAGTTTCGTTGACCTGGAATGACATTCACGAATTTCTACCTCATGCCCTACCACCGCGATCGTACCTATGTTACCAATAAACACCGTTGTCGTACCTATATGTTACCGGTTATAACCGGCAGTCACGCCGGATCAACCAGTTTTTGGCGTAGGTTAGTAATCGGGTCGTAATGTCGCCGACGTGCTTTGTTCGCCGTCTTCGGCTCATCACCATGTTTTGTCTGGCGCCGAAGTTGTATGCCGACGTCCCCAGTTCCCCAGTCCCTCTCGCCACAGGTCATACCCTCATACGTTATATTTGTATTACTTAATACTTATTATCATATTATGTACCATATGTATACCTTTATTTAATGATTATTGTTATTGTTATTGTCATATTATATTTATCATGTTTTTACATTTATTTAAATTTTACTGATTATAATATTATATTATATACCTATACATATACTGTATTACTGGCTACTGTACCATAATATATTATTTTGTTATCATTGAATTCTAAGCGTACCTACTGTAATTTTCATTTATTTTTGTGTAATAATAATATTATAATATACTTTTGCCGAGCCGACATACTGCGAGATTGCTGGACACCCGACACACACACACACACACACACACTCAAGAATTTTGAGATTCCCTGAGGAAATTAAATTTTTAAAAATGTATAAATAGTTGCCTGTATTTGCATTCTGCAGATTATAATTGTAATAATAGAATTATTTTTTTATCATATATACAACATTTCTACCAGAAGGAGTGCTTTGATTTCAACATATAGTACTTTAACTTTTAGAAAATTCAAGGATCCATATGGTACTTTAGGGAGGTAATTTTTCGATTTTATTTAATAGTTACTTAATGCCCTGGAAAAAAATCACCGATAAATTACGAAAAACCGCTAAAAATGGGATTTTAATTTCAAACGCTTTGTTTATCATCATAGAAACGAATAAAAAAAAATAATATTATAATTTTAACTCAACTTACGGGTTATAATAAATAATAACAATACAAAAAATATCCAGACTGACAAACCGTGTCCGCTCGGAATCGTTTTTCTTATATACAATGATATTATATCATTGAATTCAAGTTAAATACAATTCATTATACATTGACTGACTTGTAATCTACTGTACAGAAGAGCGACATCCACTTACCCACTTTTTTTAATGAGTCCATACTTTAGTTAACCCAATAATATAGACAATATAGTAAATATTAGTCATGACTCATGACTCATGATACAGTCAATAACGCTCTTTAAAATAACAAGAAACTTTCTTTGTATTATGCACCAACCGGCAACCAACTCATCCTGTTTTTACCTAATTATAATTATGGATATTATATTCTTTTCAAATTTCCGTGTAGCAAAAAATATTTCAAAATATATACCTAACAATTTACATAATACATTTATAAATTATATCATATTATAGGTAGTTATGTACACAGTATAATAATTTACTTAATAGTAGGTTCATAATTTCATATATAAATTTTTACAACAGTTCAATTGAATTTTAATCAAGAATTTCAAAACAACAATATTGGTACCTAAAACAAACCGTAATTGTTTCTTTTTAAAGGTTCACATCACAAATTTAAAACAACATGACAGAATACAGAAGTTCAAGAAAAAATGAATATAATTGGGACCTCTTTTCAACTAAAGACATTTTACTATTACTTGTAATTGCAATGGTAAGTATAAATATATGTAATTATTCTAGAAGCTATGGAGTACACACTGTACCCACTGTACATATTCCTGTGGGGGACCATATTACCCGTAAGCAAATGGCATTAATTTATAAATATTTGTTATACATTTTTTTAAACGCGATCCATTTTTAAATGTTTACATTTTACTATTTTAGATTTTGATCAGAGGGATAATAAGAGTTAAATGTAAAAGAAACAATAATTCGTTAACGAAAATTGATGTTCGTTATTTCTTTGTCTACCTTCTAAAAACCGGACATTTCAGTGTCCCGAAGATTCTCCTGGGGAAAACGGATCATTGATCACCTTAAATCCGTAAATGAATAGTTATATCGGCGGAGGCCAGTGGCGGATCCAGGACTTAATTTTAGGAGGGGCGGGGGAAAAAATACAAAAAGTTCCAAAATTGGCTAAAGACAATGTAAAACAAAAGAAAACTACGACGATGGCAAATGTCCCCTTTGCCCTCCCCCTGGATCCGCCACTGGCGGTGGCTGTGTTAATGGCCTTAGATAAATGATAAACCTAGCAGTATAGTACCTATCACGTAGTACGTAGAACAAGCCAATGAGCCCTCCCGTCGTGCTTTTCAAATATGAATATATGATTATATTAAAGTGTATTACTATGCTTACTATAGAAAATATGTACACAATTTATAATAATAGGTAGATAATATAAATAATTTTAACAAAATAAAATACACAGTTATTTTCTATAAATCAATCAATCAATAACTATAACTTCTAAAAATGAATAATTATTTTTAAAAATCATAAAGGATAGGTACCTATGTAAATAATCCCCAATTTATATTAATTCAAATATTTTAAACATATACTTTTAGATTCTGAGCTGAACGAGAAATTTAGAGGTTTTACAACGGGGTTTATTTTTTTTCCTGTGTACAAAATTTCAACCAGAGTTCAGAAGGATTGCTTCGATTCAACATATAATATTATCTTTTAGCAAATTGGATCAAGATGGTACTTTAATGAGGTCATTTTTCGATTTTCTAAATAGTTATATAATTCCACAGCAAAAACCTCCACCTTTAAAAACGGGATTTTAATTTCTAACACGCGTTGTGTATTACCATGGAAAAGAATAAAAAATTGTTACGAACTTAAAAATATTAATTCAACTTACAGGCTATAATAAATAATATAAAATAACAAATAACAATATAAAATATCCAGACTCACAAACCGTCTCCGCTCAGAATCGTTTTTCGTATACAATGATATTATAGTATATCATTGAATTTAATTTAATACAATGAATTGTACAGTGACTCACTTATAACCTACTGTACAGCAGAGTGACATCCACTTAACCGTTTTCTTTGAATTTTTTTTTTGCAGGTATTTACGTTCATTATGTTGCCCTCAAATTCACTAGAAGCCGATTCCATCACTGAAATCGATTGCTCGAAATCCAATACATGCATGAAATGTCTGAACAATAAGCCTTTGTGCAGCTGGTCCATCGAACTGCAATCATGCTTTAACACAAAAGTGCTGCAAGCACCGCGTGGAAATTTAACAGTAAATAACGAAAAGCACTGTCCACGGTTCACAGTGGTCAACAAATCGTCCGTAGCCGGCGTGTCTTTTAAATACACTATCAGAATATCGAACGACTTGAAGGGTGCGGTCACGTCGTTCCTGAACAGCAGTACGATCACATGTTGTATCGAGTCTTGCGACTTCCGTGGGTCGGTGATCGACGACTCAATCGTGTGTGCGGCGATACGCACGCCATGGTCGTACTTTGCGGACGGCTCAAGAGCCATGATCTCATACATATACGTCATGTTCGGCGACAAAAAACTGCAGTTTGACAATGACGCCGACCACTATTACATAATTTACGACCGCGACTGCGCGGCGTCTGCGGCCGCTGCTGCTGACGACTGCGCGACGTGTCTCTGGAATGACAGATTCTACAAGCATTACTTGAAATGGTGCCCGACTGGCAACCCGTGTACGGGGTCGTATCAGATCTACGATAAGCGGGACTTGGACGGTGACAAGAAATTTCTGTTCAGCGATGACGACGTGGTGCGCGTACGCTGCGCCGAGATCAACATCTTGTCGGTGCGGCCGCTGTACGCGCCGCGGACAGGCGGTGGAACCACCACATTGACGATAACCGTCCGGAACCACCGGATGTTGGTCGAGAACAGAACTGTGACGGTGGCTGTGGCCGGAAGACGCTGCAAGGACCCGGTAACGTACGATAACCAGACGATAACTTGCTCCTTGTTGCAGTCGTCGATCACCAGCGCCGTAGCCGCCGCCGGTCCGGTCGAAGTTGTGTATGCGTCTTCGTTGTCTTCGGCCCGGCCGTCGCAGAATAAGAGGTTCACGCTCACATCGTTTGAAACAGTCGGTTTCGTCGATCCAGAGACGACGAGCGTGCGTCCGACCTGTGGGTCCATTTCTAGCGGCATCACGTTGACGGTGCGTGGCAGTTTCCTGGACATCGGTAACGCCGTACGCGTGTCCGTCGTAGCAAACATCAGTGAATCAGAAGTCGGAGAAACGGTCCTCATGACATGTGACACTGTGTCGCGCGACCGGCACACAATCGTCTGCCGGACCAGCGCGGCCGTCCGCCGCAACAATTATAACGCGACCGGCGCATCGTCGGCCCGCGTGAAAGTTCAGTTCGACGGTGGTCCGATCAAGTACGTCCAGAATCCCGCCTCGTGGACGTTGTGTACGATCGGCGAATCGGCGTTGGACGCGGGACAGACGTACGGCGGCACCGTTTCGGGCGGCACTTTGGTGGCGGTCCGCGGCGTCCGTTTTTCCTGTGTTTCGAATGCCCACTTTTACGTGCACGACAGGAACGGTGCTAAATACCAGCACGCTACCGGATGCCGAGTAGTGAACGACACATACATGGAGTGCCGGTCACCGGACATGCGGCGCGCGTCGTCTGCCGTCGACGTAGCCACAGCCGTTGGGTTTCCGGATTTCGGTGTCCGGGCGCTGGATTGTGGCGAAGGTCGTGTGTCCGACTTGCCGGTGCTGCAGCCACAGCAGCAAAGGTTGTCAGCAACCGCCGTTCACAGTCCGTTTTCCGTGTATGCCGATCCCGTTTACGTTGATTTCGAAATCCGCGACGGTGCCGTCGTCATTAGCAGCGGCCATCCATCCTCACTGGGCCAGGGCTACGTGGTCGGCGACGTGGCCGTGCGGTTTCTAAACTCAACGGGTGGTTGTCGCGTTACGTCCTTGTCACGACACGAGATAATTTGCGTGCCGAACTCCACTACCACGGCCACCGTTCTCAACCAGCTTCGACGTATCGTGGTGACCGTGGGTGGGTACGAGTGTGATGTGCAGAAAAAGTCTATCAACGCCTGGGACGACGGTAGAAGCGGTAGTCGGTCGCTGCTATTCACTAGCGTCACTTTCTCCTGTTGCAGTGGAGTTGCCATCGTTTCGGGGGCGGTGTTACTTTTCGCTGTAGGTGTCTTATTATTCCGTGTCATTACAAAAAATCGGTACGTAATAAGCGCGGACACCTAATAAGATGATTATGATCAAATTTATCTCATAGCTCTAGCTATTCTATCCACATTATATAATTGTATAAGATTCTGAGCTGAGCTATCAACTATAATATGTGTATTTTTTTAAAAAATGTATTCAAGTCTGACTCTTCATCACCCTTTGAAGCAGTAAATAATATGATCGAGGGGTAGTATCTGGTACAAAATTGGATCTTGTGGGTACTTTGAGCACGAGTCAAAAGTAAAGAATTCCCTGCAATACCTACTTTTAAAAATAAACAGAAAAAACAAAAAACATTTAGACAAAAGTAATTTTCACTGAAAACCAGTAATGGTATGTAGATAACTCGATTAAATGAATTAAACTACCTTGGGTATCACTTTGGTGTTGAAACTAAATTTTAGAATATAACTAATAATAAAACTCTAGCAAAACCAGTGGGACTCCATTCCACCTACCAATAAACTTATGTCCATCAAAAGTTCAGTGAAACATTGGAATACACCCCCGGATCTCAGCCGATGACGTCAAGATATTGAGATCGCACGTATAAGAATCGGCCACACTTTCGCTACACACTCTTTCCTAATCACTAATCAGCAATGATCATCCACCTACATGCAATATATTTATATATGTCAAATTCGCATCACTATAAAACACATACTATAAAGGTACTCGAATAATGCCCCATCTATAAACTCACATGCACATCCCTCAACCTTCCGCATAACATCAAATAAATCCTCGATGAAGGACAAACTCCAAATATCATCAAATTCATCACTAAATGCAACCTCATCAACAAACTGTAATCAAATCAAACTATATTGTAAGCACACTTATAATTTAACTATAAATATGGGCGTAACCGTTTTCCGCCAAAATAACCCTTGTGGCCTCACCCATTATTACCACAACCGTTTCCCGCCAAGGTTATATTCCGATTTCAGCCAAAAAAAATTAATAAAATATTTATAATATTTTTTGAGAACCCCTGATATCAGCTATATCCTGCGTTATTATTATTATTATTATATAAATAATTTAAGACAAATAGGAAATTAAGAATACCTACAACCAAAAACATATTCATGGGCAATATATTTATATTGAGCAATTTTCCTTCGTATTACTTATTTATTTTTCGGCATAAATGTTTCAAAATTATAAAGCACTCGTTAATTATATATCAAATATATTATTTATAATATTATTGAATTATCAATTATCTCACACCTCTAAACCTCTTGTGTTTTTTGTAAAATTATAAACCACAGTGTTTAAAAATGATATTATTTATTACTGTATTTAAGTTATTAATATAATTTATATAATAAAAATGTTATACTGTTATAAATTATACAGTAATAAAATTATTTTTTTATACAGTATATGTCGTTTTTATATATTTTGTATTAAACAGTAAGTACGATTTTATTTATTACAACAGAATAATGATTGATGAACATGATCGTGATGTGGGACCTATGAAGAATATTAAACAACAACTTTTTTGATACGTCGTACCAAATCTCAATAAAATATTATATTTAACGTATCCATCAGGAGTCCATGTTCACCAACATTTTAAGAACTGCTGTCGACGTCGTAGACGATTCACCGTGTAGTAATATCTGATAAAGGCCGCGGGTTTTCACTATACACGTTTACTGTGTACATGAAAATTGTTCAGCTATGTCCAAAAACACGGTATCGTGGTTAATCGTGTGGTAACTTAACATAACTAACCAATCACAGCAAAGGATTTGTATGCAGTATGCACGTGAACGCGTACATGTATAGTGGAAACCCGCCTTAATTGGAGGCCTATCGATAAATTGTTTATAATTGAACATTCTTTTCCTGTAAAATCAAGCCCCTAAAAGATCAAATGATTAATGGAAAATTTAGTTTTATAGAATGATATTTTTTTGGAATACAATTGTATGGAATAAACTACAACCTGGAAAAACAATTTTCGAACCAATCATGGAATGGAACATACATTTATTGGAATATGAAATTTCGGAACAAATATCTAATGTACTATACATTTTTAAACATTTTAATTTTGGAACAAATATGTAATAAAACATTTATTTATTATAAATATAATTTTTATGAAAAATAAGCAATGGAACTTACATTAAATGGAAAATTAATTTTGGGAACTGATATTATTGCATTAAGTGGAACATCCACATTAATATAATGAAATCCAGTTTAATATACATTACATTGTATTGAAAAGGTATTATCTCTAAATATATATAAAAATGAAAAGCTGTTCGTTATTCTGGCTAAAACTAAAAAACGTCTTGACAAATTTGGCTGATTTTTTTTTATTGTGTTCGTAATAGTCAGGATAAGGTTTTTTATAATAGAAATTTCTCAGGAAAATCCACCGAAAAAGTAGAAAATTGGGATGGTCAAAATAGAACAGGGCCATCAGCCAGGCATATTTTTTGTTTATTATAAAGTTTTCAGTAGTTGAAAAAAATTAAATAGTTCCTATGATTGTATATAATTTATATCAGATTAGACCTGTATTATATATTTGGTGAAGACCGTATATAAGTGTATAACTAGTAAAAATAGTATTCCAAACGCTAATTTTTCGACTTTTGTCTTGGGAACCTCCACATGCACATCATAAATACCGTGGTACTAAATCATAAATACCCTGTATAATGGAGAGTATTAAATTTGAATTCGATGATATCATATCATTGAATACGGAAAACGATTCTGAGCGCGGACGGTTTGTCAGTCAGGATATTTTATTTTATTATAGCCTATGCCCTATAAGTTGAATTAATATTATAAATTACAAAACTTAATATCACCTTAATATCATCAATTAATATAATTCGTAATATCATAGTCTGACTGACCGTTTTCGCTCAGAATTCTTATTCAATGATATTATATCATTGGATTCAAATTTAACACCATCCATTACAGTGACCCACTTGTAACCTACTGTACAGCAGAGCGACTTTTTTTAGTATGAAATTATTTTTTTGCTTATTGTTTAATATTTTCATAAATATAATAAATTATAGATGTAATTATATGATTTTTGATCAACTTAACTAGGTACTTAAATCAAATTCAAACGCAATTATTAAATTGTTAAATACTTAAATATCCAAAATGGTAGACTTAACAAAAAAAAAAAAAAAAATGAAAAAAGGCAAAAAAATACGTGTTTAGAAATAACAAACGAATTAGTAAATACTTTTTTTTTTACAAAATGTAACATTTTTGTGTCAGAATTTTTAGCTATTTTTATTAATAATTAGTTATATTTAATTGTATGCTAATTTTTTAAGTAGTTCAGTGATTCAAACATTTAGATTTATAATCTATTATATTTATGAAATAAAAAATTGTTTATAATATATTTTATATTAAAAAAAAAAAAATAATTTCATAACAAATAATAAATAATATTGTATTATTAAATTCAATATTATTGGTCAATAATAAACTTTAAAAAAAAAGGTGCTCTGCTGTACAGTAGGTTACAAGTGGGTCACTGTATAATGGATGGTATTAAATTTGAATTGAATGATATAATATCATTGTATAAGAAAAACGATTCTGAGCGAAGACGGTATATCAGTCTACGTATAAGACATATTACCTAGGTATCTATAATACCATCTATGGCAGTGTTTAGAAGGAACGAGTTCCAAAAGGAATATAGTAACTATAACATGTGTACAGTGTACACTAATAATTATGTTTATTAAAGCCTACTTTACTAAGGTTCTCTCGTCTAATTATTATACAACACTGTGCTTATGTATTTTTTAGATTTTTTGGTAACAGAATTAACTACTTACGTGGAATCTTGTTTTCAATCCTTAGATATAAAAGTTGAACATTTTATAAATTTTTAACGACAAAATAATTATTCAATTTTAAATTTGATAAATTTTGTCAAAATTTGATCTTTAAATGCTTATAAAAAAAATTGTAACTATGTATTTTTAATATTTTTCAACTGATATAGTGATATTGTAATAATATATCAGAAGCCTTGTATTAAATTTTAACACTTTTTGGCCCAACAGATAAAACTTTATTGATATTTATAGAAAAAAAAAACTAAAAAAATTGAAAACTGAAAATGTCCGTAAACAGCTCAAAAAGAGTCAAAATATTTTCAAAATTGTATGGTGTATAGGAAATGCTAATATAAACATTCAGTGAAATTTTCATGTATCTACAGTTATTCGCTTTTGAAGTACAAAAAAATAAGGAAATCGCTACATGAGAAATCAAATCCAATGTTATAAAAATTTGAATTTCAAACGCTCATAAAAATTTAATTTGACTTTCTTATAGACATTATTTATTTGATAAAGGTAGACAAACTTATGAGGAATCTTGTATTAAATGTTCATATCTTAGATTTAAAAAGAAAAATGTTTACGAATTCTTAACTCAAAATAATTTGCTAATTTTCGTGATTTTTCCATATTTTGTCAATTTTTGGACTTTAAATGCTTATAAAAAAAAACTGTGACTAAGGATTTTAAATATTTTTCTATAGTCATTGTAACAATATAGTAGTAGCCTTTTATTAAATTTTCAAGCTTTTTTACCCAAAAAAAAAAATTGTATTGATATATTTAGAATAAAAAAGGTGGGTAAGAGGATGTCGCTGCTGTACAGTAGGTTACAAGTGGGTCACTTTTACCCGTTATTTTAATTTATATAAACGTTTTTTAAAATGTTTGTATTAAGACCGATTACACATTTACACCACAAATAATATATTATAATACCATTATAGTATTCTTTAATTCTACGACAGTTCTGTTGCAGCCGACGGCCTTGTCCAAAATATAATATAATATTATTATCAATGAATTTAATAAACGTTTGATTAGTGATAAGATTTAGCAATCAAATGACGTCACCGTGATATATTGAACAATAACATCACAGTCACAATGACACACCGTTGTGAAAAGCTGAATAGTTGATAGTCTATAATA